GCCGCCGCCCCCGCCCCCGCCCCCGGCGCTGCTCTCTGCTGCACAATACAATACACTATGAATTTTTTGTCAAAACAGAAAAACGAAACAAACTTTTGAAGACCTAATAAAAAATTTAAAACTTCAATTTGTCATTTGGCTTCTACAAATGTTTTTATAGAAAGTAATATTTTCTTTATTTAGTCTCCATTTGTCTACACTAATATAAAATTAAATGTAGTAAAACATACGAAAACGCGTTTTCATAATAGCCGTATGTACTTCAAGTTGTGACAGTCAGTGACATTTATGACAAATTATTTTTCTAAACTAGTTTCAATAGCTTATTCAGCAACTGGCATTTTTTACGGAGAAAGTTTGAAGAGGCATGATTAAAAGTTCTCGTTAACGCATTTTATTATTCAGGCAACTCAAAAATTCATCAGTTCTAAACATAAGGTAGCATAATATTTATTATCTATGATATATATCTACATATTTGAAACCACAATTTTAATTTTCTTAAAGGTTTAAACTCGTATTTATATCGCCTATACATTATTCAATTCTATACTGTACACGTGTATTTTCCTCTTGTCATAATCCGTTTTCTGTCAGGAAAAACTTATTTTTCAAGGAAGGAAAACTTATGTTTTTGAGTATTTCCATAAAACACACTTAAAATTGATGATTCATCGTTTGATTGTTGGTTTAATTATACTGAGATATTTTATGAGTCACATTTTGTACAAGAATACGATTCATTGCATCAAGTTCTTCTTAAAAAAACAGACCTGTTGGCGCCGCTCAAAAAAATTATTTTATTTTATTTTATTTTATTTCATCTCTATTAATACTTTTTTTTTAGTCTGTGGTAGTTTTATACTTTATTTATCTATGCGTTTTGTTAACAGCAACTTTATAATCTTTGCAACTAACTTCCACCAACGTCCCACATTTGTAAATGATGCAAGTAAAAAAAATCCAAGATTTGTAACAAAAAGAAGTTTAATTTAAACTTTCTTGTTCTTCAAAGAAATGACCAGCAAATGTTTATGTTGTGCTTTGTCTAAACCTTTCTAACAGAGGCTTTATGTTTATTAAAAATCTTACATTTAAAAGAAAGAAGTCATGCAATAATATTGAAAACCTGGAAATTTTAGTATTAACGTGATCAGTTAAATTAATATTTCTAAAGCTATAACCCGCATTCAACCACTTTAGTATTCAAAAAACCGATAAAATGAAGCTGCACTTGCGGCAGGAAATCGCGGTAATTACTGTTGACGTCAGAAGCACCTCTTAAGAGCGCAATTTTTTTTTTCACTGAAAGTCAAACGCCGTTTATTAGCAACTGAAATTAATTTTGATGTAAAGTAACCGTGTAATTTCACTGAAAAAGCAGTCGTATTAAAAGATATTGGCATTTATGTTAATTTCCTTAAAAAGTGCGAGATTATATATATTTTTATATGATAGTGGAGGCCTACGGTTACATTTTTATGAACTATATAATGCCTAACCAAGAATACAAAATTCCGGGACTAGATTCGCCTAAAACCCTTCTGTCAATAATGTACGCAAAGAAATTAGTTTAATATATTTCTGCAATTTCTGATTAGGCTATAAAATTAAAATTAATGTGATTTAAAGGCACTCAAGAAGATAAAAATGTAATTATTTAAACAAAAGTTTTTATTATAATTAAAATGCAAATTTCAGCTCCCAGGATCTCACGTCAATTTACCGGACGTTGATCTGTTTTGCGTAAAAAAATATAACTAGCGAAGCTTGTCCACTTCGCACGAGAAACAAGATACGTAATAAAATTTATATGCAAATCATATCAGTATCAAATATCAGTAAAATGTTCAAAGGAATAAACAAGCAACAGAAACTTTAAATACAATAAAAAAACAGAATTTGAACAAAAACAAACTTCAACACAGTAGTACTATTTAATTAATGTCAACTGTTTAATTCCCGCACATTTCCGCTCCATTACTTAACCAGTCAAGTTGTAAAGAAAACAAGTACTAAAGGGGCAGTCGGCAGTGTACACCTGTTCCAAAGACATTTAAAAAATATATAGACTAGGCATAGTGAACAAAAATTTTCTACCTTTACTTTCTCTGAAAGGTAATATATCTGTCGATTAAAAAACATACTGTCATTTCGCACGTCAAAAACTTATTGTACTGTTGCTATTGTAATATTAGAGTATGATTAAAGAATTATTAGCAAAACAAAAAGTCTTTTTGGCTTGGAACTTCTTCATGGTCCTTCGAGCCGGATATGATATAATGCAAGTCTATCAAGTTTAGCATACGACCTCGTCATCTTGTATTGACATGTAATAAAATATTTTACAAAATTATGGTATTTCTATCTTTTGTTGTAAAATTAAATACAAACATTTTAATATTCTTTAATAACAATGAGATTATGCGAAAAATGTTTCAAGTGAAGTGTCAACTACGCCTTCTCTATACATTTTTTTAATCTCTTTGACGACTTTACCCGCTGTACGGCGACCATTTCCGTTTTATATCGTCTAGTGATTATCGCTATCGAAGAAAAAGTGCAATGTATGGTAAAAACATTTTGTTTGTCATTGTAAAAGAAAGTAACTTTCTTATACCCTTTTCTTGATACTTTGCACAACGTAACGAAATTAGTTATCTTACCAAATTGTGAATGTTGATATTGTAAGTGCAGCTACTAGCACCTAATAAATATCATGCTAATATTAAATGCGAAATTTATGATTGATTGCTTGTTGCTACATGTATTCAAAACTTTACTTTTTTCTGTCAAAACGAATTTATCACATTTTTCGCTATATAAAGAGATTACATATATGATAGTTGTGTTATCTATATCTATACTAATATTATAAAGAAGAAAGATCTCTATTTTTGCTTAGTGTATGCATTGAAATAACTCATAAACTACTGGGCCAATTTTAATAATTCTTTCGCACTTAAAAAGGTACGTCATCGGTGAAAAACATAGTTTACATTTTTTTGTATTTCACTCGGACGAAGTCGCGATTAACAGTTAGTCCTTAATACTTCTGTTTGACATTGACAGCTGTCATAGTGATGTGTATGTCAATAACCTAGTGTTGCGCCGCTATTCCGGTACCGATTCCTTAACAATACTTACTTGTGGCAGGTTCTTTCTTGATATCAGTCTGTGGGTCAGAGAACTTCTTGAGCAGATCCTCAGCGAGAGACTCCGCGCTCTCGCCGCCGCTACCAGCACTACTTTCAGTCTTCGTTACCTGTGAATATAATCACGATTAGTTTTTATAAATGACAATATCGTACATGTTACATTTAATGCCTGCCGCCATTTTGGAAGGGATGGGAGGGAAATGTATACAAACCGCACGCGCTCTCGCCGCCTGTGCCAGTCGGTACTGCGATAGTAATTGTTGCATCAGCGCCTAAAAACACATAATTTATTAATATGTAGTATTATTATGTGTACTACGATCGAGTTTCCAAAAAGTATATAAAAAAATCATTTGGTCTTAAAACATGGAACATTAACAAGTACATTGACAAAATGTTACGTAATAACTTCTTGTCATAATATTTTCAAAATGTAAGTCTGCGGCCGCGAAGGCGATAACAAAAGTATTTCTCTGATAAGAAAATTAATCATTTTTTTACTACAAGTAGTACTACTAAAGATAACGAAAACGGCATTGATAAATACTCTAGAATTCGCTAAGTATACACTACAATTTTATTTATATTTGTTCATTGAATAGAAATTAACCCTTTACGTCCCGTTAACTCTTACAATTATTTCTTTAAGTTTGGTTTATATATAACATCGAATCAAGTCTCTATGTACAGTCGCGGAAATTCGCGGTGTACCACTTCAGAAAAACTGTCTTGTTCTTTGCAACGAAACAAACTCCAACTCTTCCTACAATTAAATAGTTAGATAGCAGAGAATATTGCAAATAGTAATAAAAGTAGCAGTGTCGCTGAATTTTTATCGTTCAAATAAAATCATAAGCTGCGTTGTATTTATTGGTATCTTATGCGTCTCGTTTCAAAATGTTCAAACGATTGTAGCTTTTAAAGTGGAACACCGGCAGTTTTCCTAAGTGTACACGAAACATGTTAGTATACTTGTTGCTGCGGGGAGAGGTTGTGAGAGTTCCTCTGCAGGTACTGCAGCGTCTGCAGCTGCTGGTGCGTGAGGGGCGGCGCGTCCTCAGCCCTCTTGCCGGGGTAGGGCGGCGGCGCGGACTTCGGCGCGCGGGAGGACATTTCCGCTGATATCGGCAGATTCCACGCCTCCTCTATAGACGGCAACTGACGTCGTCTGTAACAAAACGTGAATACAAACAAAATTCATATATTTAGCTTTCTCCTGCGACTCCGTTCTAGACGTTCAGACTATTCTCTACATCTATACCAATTTTTATCTAAATCCGTTCAGCCGTTTAGGCTACTAACTCTAACAAACATCCATCCATCCATTTAAACTTTCGCATTTATTATATTAGTATGAAGTATGTGTGAAACCGTGCGTCATCCTGCAGTTTCCATGAAAAAGTGAAAGTCCAAATTCATTACACCATATGTTTACAAATCAATTAAATAAATAGATCAACGAGCGATCGCTGGAAATGTATTAATAAGTACTACTGGAATTCCGATAAAGCAATACAAGTATGACGCCTACTTCAGAAAATAACACTATTATGATAAAAGGTCACGTTCGTTGAAATATAAACATCCATACATTTATTATTCACAGCATAGTTTCATAAAGTTTTCAAATGACTAAGCATTATAAATATACAATTAGGTATTTCCAATGACTAAAATAAAAAAACCTACAAAGCTCTTCATTTGTCTACCAAAGAGTATAAACCAACATAAAACCTTCGTGTAAGCTTACGGCAAAATACTTTAATGCAATTACTTGTCGCGTATTGACCCAGTTTCCTAGCGTGTGAATGTGGCACAGCGGAAGCTATGCCACATAAACTGATGATTCAACTAATATACTTGTGGCATTGAAAAGGACGACGTACTAACAATATGTCGGAGCAATTCCGACAAACGCAGTCACGTGAAAATGTTCCCCTGGCAACTACTTTTCTCTAATTAATGTCGTTGCTACACGCACGTAACGAGACAAAAATAAATATCTATCTACTGTAATTACTAACACTGTTATTTTACTGAATAAACGCTCAATTACTTATTCCGACAGTTGAGATACAATTATCAATAAATTTATTTCATTAATATCTATATCGATATCTTTATTATTTACGGTCAATTGGTCACATTGAAAAAAACGAAAAAAAATCAAATGACCGCAATTGAACGCGACTAAATAGTTTATTAATATTGAATTATAATTATATTTTTTCACATTAGAGTCATAATTAAAACTAATAAAAACAACGCGTTTAAAAGTTAATTTATACCCATTCTACAAGCAAAGCGTAGAATCATTAAATAGACTTTTAGCCAAAAGGAGCATGGTACAAATTGACGCTTTTATAGTACTAATACATGGTATACGCGCATTACACTTACGATATACACACGAACAATGAAAAGAACAAAGAACGTGCCCGATAACAGTGCGTCACAACAAACATTGTAAGATACACGTTTACAAATGAATTGCTAATTAAAGTCGAGAGAGACAAAGAAATCCACACCATTAAAACACTTTTACAAAGCAAATGTAAACAACTTGGAAATAATCCAAACAAATACAAATTACCTATATTTATAATTTTTACTCAAAAGAACGAGTAGATCTATATATATTGTATTTACGTAAACAAGTATTATATTTCTATACTTTATTTGTTTATATCTACGACTGTGAATATAGAGTTTTTATCATAAATTGAAAACACTAGACAAAACAATTCGATGTTAAAATTATCATGACATAAAATTGATGTCGAAATAACATCTTAATTAATCATAACCAATTCTAATCATCAGACCTTGGATCGGTCATCCCGAAGGAGGTCTAATAATACCCACGCAGTAAATTAATGATTTTAGGTCATGGATATTTCAAAGAGTATTTCGGACTTTGCTGAGACGAGTATATTGGACACTTTTGGTATTGTGACGTACTAATGAACAAAATAATTAATGTAAGTTTATTTTCATCCGGCAAAGAACGTTCTTCAATTTAATAAAGGCCTTATTATGATTTTTATAAACTGGATAAAGTTAACTTGCAGATAAGAAAATAATAATTCAATAAGTGCGTAAAATGTATGTAGAGGTGAATACAGAGGCGTACTTACTTGCCAGTGACGGAGGGCATGGGCGCGTGGGCGAGGTGTGCGCGCAGGAAGGCGAGGCGCTGCCGCAGCGGCGCGTGCGCGCCCACCGCGGCCGGCCCGCCGTTGCTATAGCACGCGAAAGCATCGCGCGCCATCTGGCAACTTTCGTACAAGCTGCCGAGATTCGTCCACGCAGCCGAGTGCCCCTTGTCCAGCTGCACCGCGCAAATGTACGCTTGCAGAGCATCCATCGGCTGATTCTGTTGCTGATACAGCACTCTGCACAACAAACAAATTGATAAATCCCTAGATTCATTGACAATTAGACTAATAGTACATTATATATTACTACTTACCCTATAGAGCACCATGTATCGGCATTCCCTTCGGACTTCTCGACCGAGTTCCTGTACGCGATGAAGGCGTCGTGCACTTTGCCCTGCGCGGCAAAGCACCGCCCCAGTAGGTAGAGACCAGCACCGGAGTCCGGCTCTGCGGCCACCGCGCGCTGCAAGCACCACACGGCGGCACGCGCGCGCGCCGGCGCCTCGCCCAATGATACGCACCGATGATAAAGCCAACCTAATCAATTAAATAAAGAAGCATAAGTCCTAGAGTCGTCATGTGGATGTCGATGTGGTGCTCTAATTTCTATTGAACACAATTAAAAAATTTGTCTCGATCTTTATCAATTGGCAATCGGAATATTCACATAATTAAATAGATATATTCTTGCCTTGTTTTAAAACGTTCAATCATATGACGTAATTGTAACAGAATGACTATACCAAATATAGAACATATTTGCCGTACCTAATTTGATAAAAACATTGTTATATACCTACAAGGCTGTAAAACAGGAAAACTAGTCGGAATCTTTGTATGCCATATGCTTTCATTTCCGTCCGATTGCTTACATTTGCGAAATTTCCTTAAAAAATGAAAGAGAACAAGTTTCTTAGTCACTCGTTTCTCATCCGCAATAAAGTTGTCCGCAAACCAGATCCGGTGGGCGCTATGAACACTCTCATTATGTCATGCCCGGTTCGGTTCGCATCTGCTAGAGTCCGAACAAAATAACTGGCCCGCTTTGACAGCTGTCCGAGCAACATAATTAAAGCTGTTTTAAATCAATATGGGAAATATTGATTGAATAAACCGGACCACCTTATTATTTTGAGAACACGACTTAAATAAACATTGGTTTTTATCTAACCTGTTCATTTTAAAGTAACCAATTATGGAACTGGAGCATAAATGTGTAAGGGAAATTATGAATGAATTCTGTCTGCTTTTTTAAATGGATAGACGTCAAAATGGAGTAATTCCTAATTCTTCCGTAAGTATTATTATGAAACTAGTAAATGTCCTTGTATATCGAAATACAAAAAGAATTACGTGTGCGTCTAACCGCTCATTTGTCGTATATAATATCCATTGTAGGACATTTACAAAAGTAGAGTTGTAGTGAAATAAATGTCAGTAAATTATCGCTGAAGTTTGAAGACCTAAAGTGCAAATACGTTAGTAGCCCGGGGTGAAAGTATTGTAAAGGACGAGCCGTCCGTTTTACACAAGGGCGAAACATTAACGTTAGGTCGAGCACCTTTTTATACTCTTGTAGGCTAGACGAGTTTTATATCTCGAGCATTCAATGTGCGTTTCTTTATTTCTCCTCTATAGGTTTGGAAAAAGTTGTCTTGATTAAACAATAAAAATTATAACGTAAATTAATTTAAGGGTAAATAACTCTTATAAATTACTTGAAATTAGGTGGAACTGGCGTTAAGTGATAATTTAATACTGTTAAAGAAAGTCACTCACCTAACTGCCTGCAAACGTCTGCTTTCAACGAGGAAGAGAGTTGTGGTTCCTTGAGAAGGCGTTCATAGGCGTCTCTGGCGGCTTTGCGCAGTCCTCTAGCTTCAAGGAGGTGAGCGGCGTGGAAGCTGAGCTCGAGGCGGGTGAAGGTAGCGTCCTGGTGAGGGGCGAGGCGCGCGCGACGGAAGTGCGCGGCGGCCGCGGCCCAGTGCCGGCGAGCCTTGAACATGAGGGCCAGCCGCAGGTGCGCGTCCGCCGCGCGCGAGAACCCCGGCGACACGTACAGCGCCATCTGCAGCGCCCGCGTTGCCCTGCCGCAAACCAACCATAGAACACGCCCTTACCATACCATAACATTGAACTCATTGATGCATATGCCTAGTGCTGAGTGCCAATCCAAAGTCAGTATCCATCGCTGATGATTTGTTTTGCTTATTGTTAATTTTGTTTATCACACACATCTACTGCTTTCAAAAGTTCAGAAATATTAACCGTATAACATAAATATAATAAAGCAGTAGTTAGAAGACTAGCATTGTCAACTTGTTTATTTCAAGCCATAAATTTCTCCAATTAATAAACAATCACGTGAATTAATCGAGTGAGAAACTTGGCTTACCATGTTTTGTTGTGAAGTACATTGCAACACCGCCGCGTCCAATTACCGGACAAGTGGAAATTGAAACGGAATGCTGTAATGTTCTACATTTGCTCAATGCTATGTGTACATACTTATATTACAAACTTCGAGTAACTTCGAACACAAATAGTTACAACTACCATTCATTAAGAGATAGTATAGATGTAGCATAAATGAATCATCTATATAGGAGATTCTTTAGTAAGCGTTAGTGAAGTAGTAACTAGTTACTGTGTGTTGTGATAAATGAAGGGTGCCAAGAACAAAATGTTTATAATGGTAACAAACACTGTTAACATAAATAAAATCATAAATCTCATTTTGTAAACGGATATGATTGCATTGTTTATTTACTTGTCAATTCATTCATTGAAAACAATAGCACAATTTTAATTGAGTACTTTTAAATCGTCGTTTTCTCTATTTCTTATATTTTACAAGTTATACAAAACTACTATTGTGTAATTTTTTGTTACACTCAATTTCGTCTAAAGTAAACAAAAACTCAAAGCCTTGTACAATAACATGAACTCAAAGGTGCACAGAACAAAACGAAATCGCATGAAAGCCTTTTTTGCTCCATACATAAAATGTTCATAAACGCTATTGGACCGCGCATCGCGCTTACAATGAGTTTTTTTTTTCAGTGCAATCCAAAAAGTGTATACGGATAGCGCTTTTGTTGATGAGAACGCTTGACAAAATTGTTATACAGTCTTTGCGGAGATAGTTACATTGCTGTAAAAACACGTAGAACGCTTGCTCACCCTGGGGCGGTGGAACTCATTCATGCAATGCTCAGGTACCCATGACTGCATAGAAAAAACAAATCTGGATTCGATCGTGGAAGTTAGATCGAAGACGTAGTGGACAAGAGGTGCGGTGAGGATATCGAGCGACGCATCACCGGAGCGTAGCGTCACCGATGCGGCCGCGGGGTCGCTGACCGTCCGAGGCCCGGCATGCAATCGATCGGACGGTGCAACGCAACGTCTAGACAGCGACAGCGATCGCGTTCCCAATACCGAACCAAACGACGAACCGACGCACCGCCGTCGAGCCTGCCTTTACCCACCCGCCCGCTTTTATTTAGATGACCTCCGCTGACATTTGCGAGCCGAAACAAAGGAGCGAGACAGGTGGCGTCCGGTGTACCGCGATGCCGACAACTAAAATTAAATGATACACACACACTCGCTTCTACAGCCTACACTCGGCACACTCGTGTGCCGGCGATCCGAGGAGCGCTTTCACCCGCGCGGGCCGCACCGCCATGATACGCCCAATATAATTTCTTACTCGCATTCATCGCCCGAAGAAAGTCGACCGTCAGTGATTGTCAATCGTCACGCAATATTTAAAAGTCGCAACAGAAACCCTGGCAATGTAATCGACTTCCCTTTACGTTCGAAGCCATATCAAAGACAAACTTACAGGAAATAGTGTCGTTATTCGGAAACGTTGTTCTCAATCATATTGTGAAACGTCGAAACTTATAATGTTTTATGGAATAATTATGTAATGGAGGAGTTATACAAAATGACTCAGTTTTTATTTGTTTCATACTATGTATATCTGCTACAATATAAGTATAAAAACATTGGAATTGTATCGAATAACATTATAAATTTAACGAGCTATCGTGTTGTCGCTTCACAGGAACATTGGTTGTGATAAGCGCAGCAACAGCGCGAGGCGGAGTTTTGGGGGCGATAACTGTTAGTAAACAAATATTATTATACTTTCAACTCGGCCAGATAGTGTTATTGGTACAACAAAAAAAAAACTAAAGCAGATAGACATATATGAAAATAAACCTCGAACATAGCAAATGAAAAATATAGACGCTCATAATCTTTCTTAATTTACATTAATAAACAGAAAAAAAATCTTTCGCAGAATTAAGATGAAAAAAGATTAGTATCTTAGATTTATAAACCAGTCGTATATAATTGCTTCTTTGAATACTTTTACAATTCTAAACAATTTAATGCAGGAGTCTCTACCTGCCCGAAAACGCAAGCACTGAGCCCCATTATTACCGGAGCCAGGTAACAAATTTTGGGTACAACCCTATTTATACATTCGGAGCCATCTTTCCACCGGTCGCTATACAAATCCGAAGCGGAAAATAAACAATACGCATGCAAATTGAGCACACGAACATCTGTCCCGATATTAATACCGCACGGCGGAATGAAATCGAGGTTCTGCCACGCTCGACCGTGACGGCGGAAATATAATGTTTACTGCGGCTCCTAGAAAGCGCTAAATGAATGAGGAAATACGGAGCATTAGGACAATTCATTTTAGTAATGTACCGAAACCCCGCTGGTTTGGGAGAGGACGGTGGAAAGGGAGAGGGGGAGAGAGCAGAGTTTGTTTCGGATTTGAGTGCGGGAGGAGCAAGGCACCGGCATGAGGCAGCTCGGCGTGACCTAGTTACGCGCACTCGCGCCGGCTCAAGGACGGATCGGGCGCTATTTATAGAGTTCATTCGTCGTTCGTCATAGCATCGCATTCACTTTACATAACTGGAGTGAGTAGTTGCTAGGTGCGCCGGCACGTGGCCAGGGAAGGCGCGGCGCTCGATACCGCGCAAAGAGTCGCCCGACTCTTTCCCACGGCCGCCGCCCCACCTCCGGGGTGAGGGGGCACCGAGCTTGCAATAATAATAACCCACTTCCCCATTAGCGCGGGGGATGCTCGAGATTGACCAGGTCACGCTGGCGACAGAGGTCAATGTTGTTGATATCGTGTTCCAAGAAAGCTTTACAAACATTGAAACTACATTGAAATTGTTTTACATTGAAACTAATCTGTGACGTTACAAATTCGCAATGATATTTCGAGACAAAATATGCACGGGTGTATTTTGATATTGCAATAGAATTGCAATAGAGAGTTAAAGTTTAAGTAAGATGACGATTAGCATATTTTCAATTTATGACAAAGAGAATTGATAATATAATGCAAGTAGCAGTCGTGATGCACTCGCGAGTCATCCGACTGCGTTATATCACGGCCTTGACGTGCGTATGTATGTACATATGCAATATTCTGCCTCGTAGTGCGTGCTGTGTTTGCGTGCATTTATAATAAAGCCATAGCGATTTGTGTTTACAACGAACGCTCGCCGATACGCATTTACGCCCCAACAAAGCATTTCTAATGCAACATTATTGTTTTGAAAACTTGTTCACATGAAATACATTGAACATGCGTTTAAAACATAACCAACAGATTTATAAAACATTATTTTAGGATTTCATTAGTTTTCGCAATTAAAACATCTTTAAATTAATTTCTACTACATTTAAGTAAGTTTTTTTTTATTTATCAATTTCTACAGACTCTTGGTCCTTACTCTTAATTGCACAGTTTGTTTTCCTTTTCTTTTTTTTTTATTTATTGTTTTTGTTGCGTAATCCTTATATCACTAGTGAGTTCCTTTTTTTAAAAAAAAATACGATTATACTACTACTTTTACTTATACTAGCACGACAGTTGTCAGTGGCGACTGATGTATCTTTAAACCGAGTCTATGTAATTTTTTTCAGACCTTCTACGATCGATGTGTCTCTGTTTCTCATCGCCATTTGTATGTTGTAGGCGATGATTCTCTCGTTCGACGCATTTATCGCCCTTGTACAAATAATACATACAAATACTGAAATAACAAAAATTAGTTTTAGCGTTAGGAATGTTATAAGTCCCAATAAGCTATAGTCGAAGAGCCGGCTAGCCGTGGCGTTGCGTGTTGCACAAAATTGATAATGAGCGGGCGAGGGCTCTTTTATCGCTGGCGTCATTGCTAGCTGACCCACTTTCGTCCAATCCATGTTACTACTTATGTATACTATAAGTACCAAACAATCCACGCGTCGTTCAACATTTTAAATATTAGTATGTATATGTCAAAGTAGGAAATTTGTTACAGTAAATTATAGAGGGCAAGTAATACTTTTATTGTGTTCGTGTTAGTATAAGATAACTTTGATTTGGACACTTAAAGCAAAATTAATTAATAGCAGCTTGAACTGCATTGGAAAATGTATTATTGAAAACAAAAGAATACATACGGTTGTGGAAAAAATTATTGAATTTTAAATAAAGTGAACTACCACTGGTCACATTATTTTTAGCTTCAAGGTTTGTTGATGCTGTGCTGTATAAATGCAAGCTAAATTTGTTTATCACTTCACAAACTTTCCAACAGAAAAACATCGACCCCGAACCCTGAATTAATATCTCATACATTTTAAATGTTTACCTATTTTCACTTTTAGAATGCCAAATGTTTTTTTTTTATTATTTTGTATATAAACTTGACATGCGATAAATAAACTGATATAATTAAGTTAAGATATACAATGTATAAATATACAAACATCTGGACAGTGTTGAATTCAATGACAAAGGAAACGAAGCGGGGAATCGTTAGATAAGCCGGTTATTCCACTCTGGCTCGGAGCGACCATGGTGCGGCACGTATAGCCCATCCTTACGGTACTCCGGACCTGTACCATGGCTATACTATGAATACATTATACCTGCTACATAGATGCGAGAGAAAATTATGAACAAGAACGATATACGTATTGTGCTTTTTTGTAATACTTGCAAGAATTTAACTTTGATAGACACGCGTTCAATATTTGTAAAGGCGAT